TTGAGCATCCTATAGATATATACATTGCATCCTAGAAATACATAGATCATCCTGGGCAGGGATATGCGGAACTGACTTATATACACAACACTACACAAGGGACTTTACCACAAGTTCAAGGACTGAAGAGAGATATTGACAAGCTTGAGGAGGGCAACTAAAATGATCAAGAGTCTGGAGAACAACCCGATGAGGAGCGGCTTAAAGAGCTGGGCATGTTTAGCCTGAAGAAGAGAAGGCTGAGAGGAGACATGATGAGGGCCATGTACAAATATGTGAGAGGAAGTTATAGGGAGGAGGGAGCAAGCTTGTTTTCTGCTTCCCTGGAGACTAGGATGCGGAACAATGGCTTCAAACTACAAGAAAGGAGATTCCATCTGAACATTAGGAAGAACTATCTAACTGTGAGAGCTGTTCAGCAGTGGAACTCTCTGCCCCGGAGTGTGCTAGAGGCTCTTTCTTTGGAAGCTTTTAAATAGAGGCTGGATGGCCATCTGTCGGTGGTGTTTTGAATGCAATATTCCTGCTTCTTTGCAGGGGGTTGGACTGGATGGCCCATGAGGTTTCTTCCAACTCTTTGATTCTATGAGATTCTATGATTCTACATCAAAGGCTATTTGACGCGCAGGATCAGCAATTACACAGCCCAACAAAAAAAAATCTTGCTGTCTTAGTTTTTAGGTCAATTCCTGGGATGATTTGGGGCGTCGATTCAGAAAATTGAATTGGATAGACTATCAGTTCTGATTTCTTAGATATGGTTATTATGATTTTTATGGGTAAAAGTGAAGACTGGTATATGCATATGTTCTGTATCTCAAAAGCCAGAGTTGACAGGGGGAAACTGGTGCCATTTTTTGGAATCTGCAGGTCAAATATATCCAGAAACAGGCCTAATATTTGAGGTGTGCTGGCCAGTGTTATCTTTTTCCAATGGCCTGCTGCCATATCTATGCCCATTACTCTTTTCTTTCCTTGGAAACGTTCCAGAGCCTGGGACTGGCATTGGATCAGGACTTTCATCACTTCGAGCAGGACACTGAACACTTCTTCTTTACATACTCTAAGGTGCGCCTACACCGTAGAATTAATCTGGTTTTACACCACTTGTAGTTACCATGGTTTAATACAAAATCATAGGGGCTGTAGTTTTGCAAGCTCTTTTGCCTCTCTGCACAAAAGTGTGCTGTTGCCTCACCAATCTACAACTCCCAGGATTATTATTATTATTATTATTAAACTTTATTTGTACCCCGCTAGCATCTCCCGAAGGATTCGATGCGGCTTACACAGGCCGAGGCCTCAACACACATTCCATAGCATTGAGCTGTGGCAGTTAAAGTAGGGTCAAACTGAATTAATTCTACAGTGTAGATGCGCCTCTAGAGACTGAATCCCTGCCCCTCTTTGTTTTGCATGCGCTCTATCTCTCACACATACACATATATGCACACATAGATGCATGCACAATTAAAGCTGAGATCAGCCTCCAATGCCCAAATAATAATGAAAACCGAGGAGCGAACTTAGACGAGTCACATTCTCTCAGTCTCAGAGGAAAGCCAGGGCCAACCTCTCATGATCAAACCTCGCCAAGAATACGAAGTGATATGTTCACCTAAGGTCAACATCAACAACAACAGAGAGCAAGTGCCAAGCCTTTCCTGTTTTCAGAGGATATGGGGATGGGGGGTCTTAAAGAAGCCACGCACCCTAAATGGGTGCTAAGAAGCCCCCAATGTGTTAAACCCTTGTGCCAGCAGGACTGAAGACTGACAGGTTGCAGGTTCGAATCCGGGGAGAACGTGGATGAGCTCCCTCTGTCAGCTCCAGCTCCCCATGTGGGGACATAAGAGAAGCCTCCCACAAGGATGGTAAAAACATCAAAACATCCAGACATCCCCTGGGCAACATCCTTGCAGACGGCCACGTTTCTCACACTGGAAGTGACTTGCAGTTTCTCAAGTCACCCCTGACTTGAAAAAAAAGGTGCTATACAGGCAGACCCCAAGTTATGAACAAGATAGACTCTGTAGTTGAATTTGCATGTAAGTCTGAACAGGGACTTTTTTAGTGTAACTTCATCCATATATCTATATAAATAAAAATGTAATGTTCATTTGTGGGATTAACATAACTCAAAAACCACTGGGCGAATTGACACGAAATTTGAACACAATACACCTAATAGTCCAACAAGTGTCCATCATGAATAAATGCACACGCACACAAAAAACCCCAGTGGAACAATTAAAAATCCAAAAAATACACCATATACATCTACACATAATACTCATATACATATGTACATGCACACATTCACACACACACGTATATATATGCACAAACACACACAAATATACCCATATACACATACATATACATACACACATATATACATAGACACATACATATATACACACAAATATGCATATAGACAAGCACACTCATATACACAATCTGCATGTACACATATAAATACACAAATATATACACACATGCACACACACGCATATATATATATATACGCAAACACATAAACACAAATATATACACATACATATACACACATATATACACACACAAAACACATATACACAGACTGGGCCACAGCAACGCGTGGCAGGGGATCGCTAGTAATCTATATAAATAAAAATGTAATGTTCGTTTTTGGGATTAACATAACTCAAAAACCACTAGACGAATTGACATCAAATTTGGACACAAGACACCTGTCACGCCAACGAGTGACCATCACTCATAAAAACACTGAAAAACATAGCGGAAGGGACTTTAAAAGCCAAAAAAGAAAAAAATACATTACAAAGCATGCACAAAACCACACATATATACACAAATATATATACACACACATCAAGCACATATACACAGACTGGGCCACAGCAACATGTGGCAGAGGACAGCTTATATATATATATATATATATATATATATATATATATATATATACATACACACATACACACACACACACACACACACACTAGCTGTCCCCTGCCACGCGTTTCTGTGGCCCAGTCTGTGTATATGTGCTTGATATGTGTATATGTGTGTGTATATATATTTGTGAATATGTGTATATATGTGGTTTTGTGCAAGCATTGTTATGTATTTTTTTTTGGCTTTTTAAGTCTCTTCCGCTCTGTTTTTCAGGTGTGATGGTCACTTGTTGGCCTGAGAGGTGTATTGTGTCCAAATTTCCTGTCAATTCATCCAGTGGTTTTTGAGTTACATTAATCCCACAAACAAACATTACATTTTTATTTATATAGATTAACTTTGGATAGCATAGGGAAGGGTGAGCACCCCTGTGATATTTGTTTTGCTGTCTGAGCCCCAGTTCTGAAGATTTCCCCTCCCTTCCTGTCCCTGTGATAATTAGATTTTGGGGGGAAAAATGGCTTGTTGTGGACACAAGGATTGGGGATACAGCTTCAGTGGAGACCTCCCAAGAAAGGAGACCTCACTACCTCTGAGGATGCTTGCCATAGATGCAGGCGAAACGTCAGGAGAGAATGCCTCTAGACCAGTGTTTCTCAACCTTCCTAATGTCACGACCCCTTAGTACAGTTCTTCATGTTGTGGTGACCCCCAACCATAATATTATTTTCATTGCTACTTCAGAACTGTCATTTTGCTATTGTTCTGAATCGTAATGCAAATATCTGATATGCAGGATGTATTTTAATTCATTGGACCAAATTTGGCACAAGTACCCAATGCACCCAAATTTGAATACTGGTGGGCTTGGGGAAGGGAATTGATGTTGGGATTTGGGAGTGGTAGTTGCTGGGATTTATAGTTCACCTCCAATCAATGAGCATTCTGAACTCCACCAATAAAAATATGACTTACAAATGCTATACCTCATATTATATCATACCACGAACCCTTATTGACTTAACATTAAGACTGCAATACAGGAATGAAAAGCAAATTAAATTGATTTTGTCACTTGGGAGTTCTAGTTGCTGGGATTTATAGTCCACCTACAATCAAAGAGCATTCTGAACTCCACCAACGATGGAATTCAACCAAACTTGGCACACAGAACTCCTATGACCAAGAGAAAACATTGGAAGGGTTTGGTGGACATTGACCTTGAATTTTGGAGTTGTAGTTCACCTACATCCAGAGAACACTGTGGACTCAAGCAAACTTGGCACAGATACTCAATGTTCCCATATGTGAACACTGGTGGAGTTTGGGGGAAAATAGACCTTGACATTTGGGAACATTTTGAACCCCACCAACGATAGAATTGGGCCAAACTTCCCATATGGAACCCTCAAGACCAACGGAAAATACTGTGCCTTCTGATGGTCTTTGGTGACCCCTCTGACCTCCCCTCGCGACCCCTACAGGGGTCCCGACCCCCAGGTTGAGAAACACTGCTCTAGACCATGGCCATATAGCCCGAAAAAACCTACAACAACCCAGTGATTCCGGCCATGAAAGACTTTGACAATACAAAGGAGATTCCACCTGAACATTAGGAAGAACTTTCTGACTATGAGAGCCGTTCAGCAGTGGAACTCTCTGCCGTGGAGTGTGGTGGAGGCGGTTTTTAAACAGAGGCTGGATGGCCATCTGTCGGGGGTGCTTTGAATGCAATATTCCTTCTTCTTGGCAGGCGGTTGGACTGGATGGCCCATGAGGTCTCTTCCAACTCTATGATTCTAGGGGGTGCCTCCAGGCAACAGAGGCCAGGCTACCTCGATGCAGATACCCTCTCTGGTTGGTTGACTTTGCAGCTGATCGTGCTGGCCAATGGCAACAGTCACACTTGCCTCAAGATATACAAACCTTAGTTTCCAACAGACCACACAACCTCTGAGGATGTCTACCATAGATGCAGGCGAAACGTCAGGAGAGAATGCTGCTAGAACATGGCCATACAGGCTGACAAACTCTTTCTTTGTCCGGCTAATGGAAGAAGCCTCCCCCAAGCCTTCCCACGATCAGTGTCCCCATCTCACCTCGTGGAGGGATAGATGTCTCTCTCCTTCCTTCCTTCTTGCTTTCCTTCCTGCCTTTCTCCCTTCTCCGGCTCCCACCTGACTCTCTGATGCCGTCCTCGCCTCTCTCCTTCTCGCTCCCCTCCGTCTCTGGCAGCGGATGCAGCTCGGCTTTGCGGGAGGCACCTCCCCAGCCTTGCTTCTCTCTCCCCCCACCCAGGCCCCGCCCCCGCCCCGTCCGGGGTCAGACGAGGACGCCGCCTCACCCGAGCTCACCCGAGCTCACCCGAGCGCAGGCCCTTGGCTGCAAGGCCGCCCAAAGACGACGGGAAAGGGGAGGGGAGGGTGCGCGAGGCAGCAGCAGAAGAGGGATGGAATGGCCTCAATGCTCCAGCATTGTGGGAGCATTGTGGGAGTTGTAGTTTTGCAAGGCCTTTCGCCCTCTCTGGAAATATCCCTGCCAAATCAGGGCTCAAGAAACCAGAATTCTTTCTTCTGCCCTAGTCTCTGGTTGCTTGCTCCATCCATGTTCAACATCTACACAAATGACCAGCCACTGCCAGAAGGGACAGAGAGTTTCATCTATGCTGATGATCGTGCCATTACTGCTCAAGCAGGGAGCTTTGAGATGGTTGAACAGAAGCTCTCCGAAGCTCTAGGTGCTCTTACTGCCTATTACAGGGAAAACCAACTGATCACTGTGTTCATTCGTTCAGTCGTCTCCGACTCTTCGTGACCTCATGGACCAGCCCACGCCAGAACTCCCTGTTGGCCGTCACCACCCCCAGCTCCTTCAAGGTCAGTCCAGTCACTTCAAGGATGCCATCCATCCAACTTGCCCTTGGTCGGCCCCTCTTCCTTTTGCCTTCCACTTTCCCCAGCATAATTGTCTTCTCTAGGCTTTCCTGTCTCCTCATGATGTGGCCAAAGTACTTCAACTTTGTCTCTAGTATCCTTCCCTCCAGGGCCGGCCCGTCCATTACTCGAAGTAAGCGGTGGCGGAATACTTTTTTTGCCAGGGGGCGCTGTTTTGTCCTTAGGCCACGCCTCCTCCTGGAGGCCCCATGCGCCCTCAACAGCCTTCTAATGGAGACGCGCAGGCCCCGCCCACTAGGCGAGAGGGAAGTCCTCCCTCCACGTGCTGCCAGGAGGGAGGCAGCCAGCCAGGCTCTTTCGCTTTCGCTTTCCCTTCCCTGCAGCTGAGCCTGGACCCCTCTCAGGGCAGCAAGGAGGCCTCGTCAAAAGGTACTGCAAATGTCATCTTTTGTACATGCCTCCCCCAAACCTCTCTAGTATTTGGTAATGGAAGTCCTATATGCCAAGTTTGGTTCAATTCTATTGTTGGTGGAGCTCAGAATGTTCTTTGGTGCTTGGTAAACTGCAATTCCCAAATGTCAGGGTCTATTTTTCCCAACCCCCTCTCCAGTATTTTCTGTTAGTCATGGAAGTCCTGTATCCAAGTTTGGTTCAATTCTATTGTTGGTGGAGCTCAGAATGTTCTTTGGTGCTTGGTAAACTGCAATTCCCAAATGTCAGGGTCTATTTTTCCCAACCCCCTCTCCAGTATTTTCTGTTAGTCATGGAAGTCCTGTATGCCAATTTGGTTCAATTCTATTGTTGGTGGAGCTCAGAATGTTCTTTGGTGCTTGGTAAACTGCAATTCCCAAATGTCAGGGTCTATTTTTCCCAACCCCCTCTCCAGTATTTTCTGTTAGTCATGGAAGTCCTGTATGCCAAGTTTGGTTCAATTCTATTGTTGGTGGAGCTCAGAATGTCCTTTGGTGCTTGGTAAACTGCAATTCCCAAATGTCAGGGTCTATTTTTCCCAACCCCCTCTCCAGTATTTTCTGTTAGTCATGGAAGTCCTGTATGCCAAGTTTGGTTCAGTTCTATTGTTGGTGGAGCTCAGAATGTCCTTTGGTGCTTGGTAAACTGCAATTCCCAAATGTCAGGGTCTATTTTTCCCAACCCCCTCTCCAGTATTTTCTGTTAGTCATGGAAGTCCTGTATGCCAAGTTTGGTTCAATTCTATTGTTGGTGGAGTTCAGAATGCTCTTTGGTGCTTGGTAAACTGCAATTCCCAAATGTCAGGGTCTATTTTTCCCAACCCCCTCTCCAGTATTTTCTGTTAGTCATGGAAGTCCTGTATGCCAAGTTTGGTTCAATTCTATTGTTGGTGGAGCTCAGAATGTCCTTTGGTGCTTGGTAAACTGCAATTCCCAAATGTCCGGGTCTATTTTTCCCAACCCCCTCTCCAGTATTTTCTGTTAGTCATGGAAGTCCTGTATGCCAAGTTTGGTTCAATTCTATTGTTGGTGGAGCTCAGAATGTTCTTTGGTGCTTGGTAAACTGCAATTCCCAAATGTCAGGGTCTATTTTTCCCAACCCCCTCTCCAGTATTTTCTGTTAGTCATGGAAGTCCTGTATGCCAAGTTTGGTTCAATTCTATTGTTGGTGGAGCTCAGAATGTCCTTTGGTGCTTGGTAAACTGCAATTCCCAAATGTCAGGGTCTATTTTTCCCAACCCCCTCTCCAGTATTTTCTGTTAGTCATGGAAGTCCTGTATGCCAAGTTTGGTTCAATTCTATTGTTGGTGGAGCTCAGAATGTCTTTGGTGCTTGGTAAACTGCAATTCCCAAATGTCAGGGTCTATTTTTCCCAACCCCCTCTCCAGTATTTTCTGTTAGTCATGGAAGTCCTGTATGCCAAGTTTGGTTCAATTCTATTGTTGGTGGAGCTCAGAATGTCCTTTGGTGCTTGGTAAACTGCAATTCCCAAATGTCAGGGTCTATTTTTCCCAACCCCCTCTCCAGTATTTTCTGTTAGTCATGGAAGTCCTGTATGCCAAGTTTGGTTCAATTCTATTGTTGGTGGAGCTCAGAATGTCCTTTGGTGCTTGGTAAACTGCAATTCCCAAATGTCAGGGTCTATTTTTCCCAACCCCCTCTCCAGTACTTTCTGTTAGTCATGGAAGTCCTGTATGCCAAGTTTGGTTCAATTCTATTGTTGGTGGAGCTCAGAATGTCTCTTTGGTGCTTGGTAAACTGCAATTCCCAAATGTCAGGGTCTATTTTTCCCAACCCCCTCTCCAGTATTTTCTGGTAGTCATGGAAGTCCTGTATGCCAAGTTTGGTTCAATTCTATTGTTGGTGGAGCTCAGAATGTCCTTTGGTGCTTGGTAACCTGCAATTCCCAAATGTCAGGGTCTATTTTTCCCAACCCCCTCTCCAGTATTTTCTGTTAGTCATGGAAGTCCTGTATGCCAAGTTTGGTTCAATTCTATTGTTGGTGGAGCTCAGAATGTCTTTGGTGCTTGGTAAACTGCAATTCCCAAATGTCAGGGTCTATTTTTCCCAACCCCCTCTCCAGTATTTTCTGTTAGCCATGGAAGTCCTGTATGCCAAGTTTGGTTCAATTCTATTGTTGGTGGAGCTCAGAATGTTCTTTGGTGCTTGGTAAACTGCAATTCCCAAATGTCAGGGTCTATTTTTCCCAACCCCCTCTCCAGTATTTTCTGTTAGTCATGGAAGTCCTGTATGCCAAGTTTGGTTCAATTCTATTGTTGGTGGAGCTCAGAATGTTCTTTGGTGCTTGGTAAACTGCAATTCCCCAATGTCAGGGTCTATTTTTCCCAACCCCCTCTCCAGTATTTTCTGTTAGTCATGGAAGTCCTGTATGCCAAGTTTGGTTCAATTCTATTGTTGGTGGAGCTCAGAATGTCCTTTGGTGCTTGGTAAACTGCAATTCCCAAATGTCAGGGTCTATTTTTCCCAACCCCCTCTCCAGTATTTTCTGTTAGTCATGGAAGTCCTGTATGCCAAGTTTGGTTCAGTTCTATTATTGGTGGAGTTCAGAATGCTCTTTGGTGCTTGGTGAAGCATTCTCACCTGATGTTTCACCCACATCTATGGCAGGCATCCTCAAGAGGCTGTGAGGTCTGTTTGTAACTAGGCAAGTGGGGTTTGTATATCTGTGGAATGTCCAGGGTGGGAAAAAGAACTCATGTCTGCTTGAGGTAAGTGTGAATGTTGCAATTGGTCATCTTGATGAGTATTTAATGGCCTTGCAGCTTCGAAGCCGAGCTAGTTGCTGCCCAGGAATCCTTTGTTGGGAGCGGTTAACTGGCCCTGATTGCTTCATGTCAGGAATTCCCCCCTTTTTTAGTGTTGCTCTTTATTTATTGTTCTGATTTTAGAGGGTTATTTTAGAGGGTACTGGTAGCCAGATTTTGTTCCTCTGAGGTTGCCTGCCATAGATGTGGGGAAAATGTCAGGAGAGAATGCTTCTGGAACATGGCCATACAGCCCAGAAAACTCACAGCACTCAGTGATTCTGGCCATGAAAGCCTTCCACAACACATTAGTATGTTTATTTATACCCTGCTTTTTCTCTCCCCAAGAAGACTCAAATTGGCTTAGCTTAAAAACATTTCAGTACAGTCTAAAATCCACAAATATGCAAACATTAAAATGGAATTAAATATCATTGGTATTTTAAAAATTCAGTTAAAATCCATAAAAAACATATCCAAAACTAAAAACTGCAGCAGACCCTGACTTGATCTTTAAAACCTTTTAAAGCCTGCATTAGATTACCAAATGTAATGTCCCTTTATACACACTGCTTTATATTAATTTCCCCAGTATTCCCATATCTGATTTGTCATCAACACACTTAATGGACTGCAAAAATATGATCCTGTGTGATTCCTTTCCATTTCCAAGTCGCCCAGTCCTCTGTGTGCCCAGGTGGGAGTCTCTCATCTGGTATCAGCCATGGGCTGAGGTGCTGGGTTTGAGCCTGCCACTTTTGGACTCTCGCTTGCTGAGGTGTTCCAGCGAGTGTCTCTGTAGATCTTAGAAAACTTATAAAAACGTATTTAAGATCAACTTTGAGTCAAGAGCGCTTGAGTGGACTAGCAACCTTGGCCATTGAAAATGGCTTGTTGGATGAAATGGAAACAGATATAATAGTACACGAGTTTTCAAAATTGAAAGCCAGAAAAATCTCTTTTTAATTTTAAAAGTGTTCAAGTTTATTTGTGTTAAGGAAAACTGGATGTCAAAGTATCCACTAAAGTGAAGGGGCCAGAGGCTGGCTATGTTGCCACACCCATTGTAATGGTCCAGGCTGGCATGGCACTTTTGAAGGACAAGAGTTCACTTTCTTCAAAAGGAGGTGTCTATTCTCCTGGGGCTGCGTTCTCCAAAACAAATCTGATTGACA